AACCTATTATTTGAATGTAGATTCTTGGGTACCACATTGGCAGCATCCACACAAAGGATGGAGGTATCTACCTGCTCTCAGAAGTCACCACATTCCCTCTCTCTTTCAGGGTGGGATGAATGGCCTCATGAAAGCCAGTTTTAGAATAAGCCAGCCACACCAAATAAAGAAATGCAGCTAAATTGCCTGCTTCCTACAGAGACGTATTAAAAGGTGGCAAAGGAGGGGCATGCAGAGATATGTAAGGAAGGCCTTCTATGTGCTGGGTCCTTTGCATACTTGGGGAATCTATCATGTTTCAGTGTGATTACATGAAATATTGTATATTGTTGCCACAATGAGTTTAACTGTTCACTGCTGGAACTAGAAAACCTAATCTGACTAATTTAGTAAGTTTGGGAAAAGGGAAAGAGTTTGAGTCATGCTTTATTAGTAGGAAAAAATTAGATTTGAATGTCCATAGTACATGAAGGAAAATGAACTTTTGCTACATTATGCTTTGTAGAATGAGTAAATGAAAATAAGAAAGAACAGTTAAGACGTAACTTTAAAATGGATTATAAAATGAGTTTCTGAGCAAGGTAGTGAGCAAATACAAAAAAAAAGTTATTATATTAGATCAGGGATGGGCAATGTGTAGCCCACATTCTCACAAAGCAGGCCTCACAAAGCTTAGGGCTCTGTCCAATTTTTTTCCCCAAAGAAAACAGTGTCTTTAGTTGCTATGGAGCACCAAAAATGTAAATCAGTCACTGTTTGCATGCTAAGTTTTACCCTTTTGGTGCTCTGAAGCAGCTACAAATGTGATGCTCATGTTCTTATTTACTTTGTCCCCATTTTTGGCACCCAGCTTGGGTGTGTGTGGCCTTTGGAGGGGTGTAGGAACAAAAATACCCCAAGGCTTCCTGAAATTGCCCAAATTGCTTAGATGAGGATCACTAACACAGATAAAATGGACCAGTCTCACCTGCTGAAGCGCTGAGGTTAAAAACTGAAGTTTAAGATGGAGATCAAAAGCTTTTTGCTTTTCCTAGGTAGTTGGGCAGCAGTTCAGAAAAGCAGAGGAGAGAAACAGGAATTAGATAATGATGGACATTAGCCACTGAGAAAGAACTACAGAGCAAAGGGAGGACAGAAGACACACATTCTAAATAGTTTAGGTATACTTTATACTTGCAGTTTATTTATTATCCTACTTTTTTTCTTACAAAGAACTCAAAGCAGCTCACACCCTTCTCCTCCTGCTGCTCTCAATCTTATCCCCATGACAACTCTGTGAGGTAGCTTGAGCTGAGAGAGTCTGTGATGGCCCAAAGTCACCCAGTTGGCTCCATGGGAGTGTGGGGACTAGAACCCAGGTTGTCCGAGTTCCAGTGCAGTTAAAGCATGTGAACGTGCCTTTCTCCTTTCTTTCTCCCACTTTATAAGGCAGACACTCAGAGCTGCTTCCCAGAATGCAATGCAGACATCTGTGTAGTTTACACACCAGAAGCCATGTGGGCAGGAGTGGTTGTGGGGGCATTCCTTGCTCACTGCTGCCCTCCCTCCCACATTCAGTTGCAGCTTCTCTTTATTGAGATAAAAAGAATTAGCAAGAAGTTGATGAAAGGGGCCTCCCGCCCTTATATGAAAAACGTGTCGATTAATGCTTGTAACAAGCTAAACTTCTTCACAGACAAATCCTCCACTTTCCACCAACGAATCAAGTAATGGGTCGCACAGTCCGGTGTGGCCGTGCATAGTGCTCTCAGCTTGGAGCCTTATGGGCCTCCTTTGGAGGATGGAAGGAGCACAGAGGTGAAGGTTCCCTCTGTACTTTTCCCAGACTGCAAAAGACTTAGGTGGCCAATTGCATCTGTCTGTGTTTTGCCTTGTTATGCAAAGAGGGAAGGCAGAGCTGTTGCCAGGATACATCATATTCTGGCAGAGCTGCATCCTTCCCCTCCCTGCTCCCAGAACATCCACAAGCCTCCAACTCCAAGATTGGTCTTCTCACCTGGAGGTCAGAGTTAACATTCCAACTTTCCTATGTCCAGCTACACTCTAATGGTCACAAAAATGTGCCCATAATCAATTGATTATTTACTATTATTTATTCTTATATAACACCTCATTTAATAAAATGCCTATGCATTATACACATAATATGGAAACCATAGTTCAAAATACACCATTAAATTCACTGCATAAAACACCCTATTGGGAATTGTCTTAAACTTGTATTATCAAAGGCACTTTCTCTTGTGACGCAAAGAGTTCAAGAATGTAAGAACAGCCATGTGAGATCGGTCCAAGGGCTCATTTAGTCTAGTCTTCCGTTCGTGCAGTGGAAAACCAGCTACTCATAGGATGCCTCAAGTGGGGTGTGACCACAACAGCACCCTGCTGCCCAAATCCCAATGAACTGGTGTACATTGGCACACGGCCTTTGATACTGGAGGCAGAATGTGGACCTCAGGATTAGTGGTCTCGAAAAATCTTCTCCACCATGATAGCCTTCCACTCCACGAATTTGTCCAATTCTCTTTTAAAGCTGTTCAAATTTGTGGGCATTGCTACCAGAATGCACTTTAAGATGTAATTAACTGAAATGGCCATTCCTTGCTAGAAAAAAAAGGTAATTTTTGAATGCTTTCTTGTGTTCTGCCTGAAATATTTTCCATTAGAACAGAACGGGATACCAAAATGGGCTTTAAAACAAGCAAGTGTCAGGTCAATCAGCACTGCTTGCATGATGGGAACCTGGCAGTCCTTGAAGCAATCAGAAAAGAACCCGAAGGCCGGTTCCTGAAAAAGCACAAATCAGGAGAAATTTTAGAAAGCAGCCCCAGTGACCAGCCCAATGGAAAAAAGCATTTCCTCCAATGTCCAGGTTTACTCCAGGAAACACTTCTTGTTATGCTTCTCATTATAGAAGTGGTAGATCCTGCTTGAGCAGTGAAACCAGCAGAGGTGGAATGTCCCACTGGATAAGTCTCTAATGATTTCAACTAACCAGCTGTTTCAGTTGTCTTAATGTCATGAAGGTCCTTCTTGGAGATGTTTAGTTGTTACAGATGAGGGAATGGCCTTTTCCATCATGGCACCCAGTTTATGGAATACTTTCCCAAGAGAGGTTTGGCTGGCCCATTTTTATGCAGGCACTGGGAGATGTATTATTTCGGCGGGCATTTGCTTCTTTTCTGCTGATTTTATTCCTGCTGGTGTCCTGTTTGGTTATATTAATTCTAGTATGTTATGCTGTTTTATCTTAAGATATCAAAAGGAAGTTTCAGTGGCTATTTTGCCTTGAGAAGTGAGATACTGATGTTCATAAAAATACATTAAAGGAATAAACCTGTGTCAATTTAGACAGAAAAAGGCTTACAAACTCCTAGCATGTCTCAGGCAGCTAAGCTGGGAGTTATATACCATTTATCTCTCTAAACTTGCATCAGATTGTGCTCTCAATTAAGAAATGTAGAGAGCCACTGTAGTTCCACCTGCAAAGGCAAACTATGTACTGGTTTTGCAAAATGCCAGAAAAGAAAAGCAATATTTAACTTTTCTTATAATTGATGTTCGGTGGAAGGAGCAGGAAACATCTATCTGAGTGACCTGCATAGTGATAGCCCTTGATGAGTCACCAGCTCTGGAGTTGTTCCTTGCATCAGTCCTGGTGACTGAATATGGACTAAGCTTTAATCAGCAATAAAATGGCTATCTGTTTAATCAAAGCAAACGATTGATCAAAGCTTGCCTCCGTACAGGTCACGTGGTGATTGCTCTCATGTAATTAAATGAAGCTGACACTTCTAAAACTTTTCCATTTACCACTTAGAAAGTTGTTAAAGTTGAGTTTTGAGTCTCATAACACTCTGTACTAGATGAGTTGTTTGATTCTGAACTTTCAGATGAGGAGAAACAGTGACGTATGTGCATTCCAGAGAACTGGAACTACTTGAGATAGTAATATACAGTAATATTCTATAGACAGACAGACAGATCCACTGCAAACTGCCATAGGTCAACAGGCTCACTCAACGGGTGCTGCTGACAGACGAGAGATCTTTGCGTTTCTCCTGTCTCTCAGCACTTGTCTGTCAGCAGCTGTTTCATTTTGCTGCCATTAACAAAGAAAACACATTCCAGCACAATTAATCCCAGCCCATTTGTTCAGCTGAACTACATACTGCCATCAGCATGGGAATCAGTGTCACCAAAAATACACACTCCCGTTACTCTGCACACAGATCAACAGCAGGATGCGGACTATCTTTACGCTGCTGTGGAAGGGGCTTGGAGACTCAGGGTCTCCATCAGCCCGTCTGGTGTTATATAGATGGCAAGAACGTGGGTGGGCCAACCAGGTGGCTTGCTGCCACAACCTGTCCCTTAACCCAGCCTTTTTTTCCTTTTTGTCTGTTCTTCTGCACTTATCCAGCAAAACAATTGCGACTCAATTTGACTCTTCTGAATCTGCAACTTTCTACATGCCAACATTCTTTCAAATTATTGTTAATGTGAGAGCAATTATTTCCAGTTACCCATTGTGAGAACAGGCCACTCAGACAGAAAATATTTACATACATTTTTTTCTCAAACGGAAAAATTATTGCCATTCTATGACAGTTCAGATAGGGGAATAAATGGTGGGGAGTCATAACGTGGGAAATAGCTCCCTAACGCATCACTTGCCAGCTGTTTAACCACTAGGCTAGAGGTGCAGCAGCTCAGGCCTGGGATCTAAATTCAGGCCTCTAGGGTTCCTAAAAGGGCTGTGGCCTTCTCCTTGACCACTGGTTGTTTGGTTGCTTCCTGGATTTTGTGCAATCCACCCACCCCTCTTCTAAAAGGTTGAAATACCTCTCCTAAGATTTAGTCACTGGCTGCATATGCTGGTATTGCTCTTAGCCCTCTCCACCTATGTAATGAACCCACAGCAGCTTTCCTGAAATGGAATTTGGCCCTTGGGTTGAATGAGTCCCCTGTCAGCTCCCCTGGCATTATGTATGACATACCTTCTTTGACTCCTCCTGAATGCATTGGCCATTGTCTTCCGAAGATACACATGACTTCAGGTTCTCTGATTCTGTTCTTGGCTCCGATAACTGCTCCTCTGAAGAGCTTTCCCTGTTATCACTCATTTTTGCAGCCAGTTCAAATAATCTGGACTTCAGTTTTTCTTCTATAGTGTCTGGCTTGTTTTGATGGTGTTGGTCTTCACTGCTTATGTCAGTTTCTGACAGAACTTCAGATGCCTTACACAATTAAAAGAAAAGAACAAAGCAAATTACATCTTGAAGAAGAGCAAATTAAAGTTGCATCTACAAAAGCGACTCACACCACAGGAGATCTATAAATGCATCACTTTGATGATCGCAGCATAAATACACATGGAGAAAGAGGGTTTCATTTCTGAACAGCATGTGCCCAATACAAATATTTCTCTAGCCAATAATAACCCTCAGCTCCATGTTTGATCTTGCACCGCAGCTAAACTCTTGTGTGATGACACCTTGCATATCTAATTCCACATGACAGAACAAGAATACTATTGTTATCTGCACAGAAAGCATACATTCCTTGAGCCATGTTGAATGCATTTCATTCAATGCAAAAGCAGTTACATACCTCCATATTTCAGAAAAAGAGTCTAGTTTTCCCATGTTGTATCATTCATATATATTCTTTTCAAGATACTTTTCAATACAGCTTTGAACAAATGAACAAACAGCAAGTCCAAAAATACTAAAATACGAGAGGCAGGCTGGCTAAGACCTGCTGCTTGCATTTAAGCAGATGAAAACAGCACCATGGATAGCAACAGGATGCTGACAGATGGAAGCCGGCATCTCTCTCCCTGGCCCAGCAAACAACCCACCTTCCAGATGCTGCTGTAGCTTCACAGAGATATGCTAGGCCAGGGACAAAAGTGGGGCTGTTTGCCCTGTTTTTTTTTCAGTGGCTCAGCCAAGAAATCAAATGACTAAGAAGTTGTTGTTTATCTGAAAAGGGACAATTATTGCTGTCCTGGCTATGGGAGGGCTTAGGATGCTGGGAGCTGAAGCCCAATACATCCGGAGGGGACCAGATGGGGAAGGCTGGTCTAGAGCCTTCCTCAGAAAGTGTCTTTCTGCCTGGCTGCAACTAGTGTCACCAGTCCCAATAACCTGTGCCATTTTCAATGCCCTCCTATTCATTTCAGGGAGTGGGGGAGGATCTCCTTCCCCCTGCTGCTTTTTCCTCTTCTTGTTTAGGGACTACGTATCCCCTTTCTCCAGAGGTACAACACACATCTCCCATGAACTGGAAGAAATACATTTCCCGCAGCGAGCTTGCTCCCTTCTATTACATGTGTGAATGCGGTGAGTATGCAGACCTAGTGAAACTGGTACAGCTTATGCAAACATAATGCAAAGACAGCAGGGGTTAGCTCCGTACCAGGAGGCAGGTAAGCCTGGATGGATCTGTCCTATTTGCTGTTTGGAAGGTTTGCATTTGGCAAGCACAACACAAGATTGTCCTATTCTGTTTCTGCAGCAGCTTGTCCATTTTAAAAAATCAACACAGATAATCATGTTCATGTTCATTTCTGTAAGCACAAAATGCATTCACATTTCCCTTAATGTACACATCTTTGCAAAACAAAACTAGTATGTGCCTTATTTTCCCTAACACATGCAGTTTTGCACTCACATGCTTTTTGTCATGTGTGGCCTTTTGTGTTTGCAAGGAATACATCACAACATTTGCAGAAGAACAAAAGAAGAAAACAAATTGCATTTTTTTGCATGCAATTAGTTCAGGAAGCACAAATTAGATTGTCATAATAAAATATAAACCAAAGGTTTTTCCTCCATCCCTACAAGGAGGTATCAAAGATCCTTTATATGAAATGCAAACTTCTGCAGGGACAAGGGAGAAGCTCTGCATGAATGGAAGAGATGAAGAAGAGGTCATTGCAGGAAACAATGATTTGCAGAAGAGATGAGGAAAACAAAAGTATTGTAAAACTGATCCTAGGGTAAGGGTGAAATCCTATGGTCATCAGGTGCTATCTAGACAGGGAGAGAAAGAGCAAGGCTCTTCCTGGACTTAAGAAAACTTGGTGGTACTTCAGCTCTTCCTCCTTGCGAGTCAGGTAAAACCCTCAGGCATTCAAAAGTGGACATTTTGGGGGGCAAGAGAGGTGTGGAGGCAAGCCAAGGCTGCTTATAATCCTTCAAGTTTGCAGGCTCATGGGCAGCCACATTAGTTGATGGAAAATAATGATGGAGCAGGAGAAAGTCTGTGGAACAGTGAGGCAAACGAAGAGGCTGCAGAAGAGGATGGAAGGAAGAGAGAGAGAGGCCAGCTGGATTCAAGGGCCTGCCGGCTTGGGCTTCCATATTAAAAAGCATCAATAAGGGGAAAAATGATAGAGCAATGAAGGACACAAAGAAATAATGGTTCACTCAGCTCTGGCATTCTCAGATAACAATGAGAGCAACATTCAGGGATAATGTGCTTCCCATCTATACCTAGGGAGTTGAAGTCTGAGTCATTTCATTTCACTTTTTAAATATGGAATGAGTTTACATTGAGTGAAGTGTGAAGCTGCACCCATTCCCAGCTGCACCAGTTAAAGTAATTTTCATACAGAAATAGTTTTCTTAAATTTCCCATGTCTCCTCATTCATCTGTAATAGCATCATTGGGAAAAAGTAGAGCATATTTAAAATGCGGTTCTCTTGACCTTTTTATCCTGCATTAACAACTTCCATGTATGTGCACAACAGGACCAGAGATGCTCAGCAAGGCAGTGAGCATCCCGCATACAATACCTAAACAACGAAGCAAAATAAGCTATAAGCTGGTTTGCAGTTTCAAATATGATCCTGCCAGTTAATTAACAACAAGCTCCACCTAGTGGAGGCAGGGAAATAACACTCCAGTATTTTTTATTGGAACAATTCCGCTGCTATTTTAATCTGCTCAGACAACTGACAGAGCCATGCCAGGGTGTCCACTCCCTCCTCTTCCTTTCCATAGACAAACTTTTAAAGGAGCAAAACGTCACTTTGTTGTCAGATGAATGCAGAACGGCAGTAATATTCTGAAATTTGAAGTCCAGATTTCACATGTAGCTTTGCCATGTGGCTTGCTGTAGAGCACCCACAACTGATTGATTCACTTCTGTGCCGTTTCGAGTATTTTAACTTACTGTCAGTGTCCAGAGTAGATCATATCGTATGTACACATGTGACTGGAATAACATTAAACATCTTGGCTAATTGCTTACCAGTGGCTGCATACGGGCCACAACTGTTTTGAGAGCCAGTGTGGTGTAGCGGTTAACACTGTAGGAGCAGGATCTAGATCCTCGCTCAGCCATGGAGCCAACTGGGTGGCTTTGGGCCAGTCACAGACTCTCAGCCCAACCTACTTCACAGGGTTGTTGTTGTGGGGATAAGACTGAGAGCAGGAGAAGGAGAAGGGTGTAAGCTGCCTTGAGTTCTTCAAAAAAGAAAAAGGTGGGATATAAATCTAATAAATGAATGAATGGTGATTGCCCCAGCAGAACACTTAAGTTGCCAGCTATGATGGCTCTGGCAGTAATAGTCCCATGCAGTCTCTTCTGGCCTCTAGGGGACATAGTCCTGCCTGGATGAGCATAAGCCCCTGAACTTGGCGGCTCACGTTCACCTGATGCACAGCAGAAGCCATGATGGAGGAGATCTTCACCCCCCTGCTTCTCCTCCTCTGCATTTTCCCTAGACTACTTTTATGGACTTCCAGTGATGGTGACTCAGAGTAGGAAGGAAAGAGGCTGGAGTGGCTTCAGACAGCAGTCGCAGGATGAGTTCTACTCAGGCTGCACGCAGTAGGGAGATCAGGGCTCCAATTCGCAGCTCTGAGGTCAAGATGCAGTCTTTATCCTTGGAGCGGGAAATCTGAATTATCCTATGGTTCTTCAGGCATTATCAAAGGCCACAGGATAATTTCTTGAGCCCTCTTTGCATTTTATATCAGATTTTCTTTATAAAACTGTAAACATGTAAACCATTGGATGGAACCCATTAATTACTGGAACTGTGACAGGAGGAGAGAAGATTTAACCCTTTCTTCCCTGCCAACTCAGTTAAATTTACTGTGTGCAACAGCCTGTCTCATTTCCTGGTTATTAAAAACTAGAAGAACTATTTTGCTCCCAGAGTGTCATCTCAGGAATGTACATACAAGACAGGAGTGCCACAAAGAAATGGTTAGATTCTACTTCTCCTCAGCTCACAAGTGAAATGCTTTTGAGCATGTCTGCAGAGAGGAGGAGGAGGGGGGAAATGGCCACCATCAAGACAGGCTGTTACTTAACATTATGGACTACTAGTTACCTCAGTAATTTAAAAAGTTGGAAATAGAGGCCACCTGGAAACCTCAGTTTCCTTCTTCCTTCGACTCCTGGGTTTAGAGAAAGTGCTGCTGGTGGTCATACCTCCTGCCATGTCAATAAGCAAAGGGGTCACCAGCCAGCGCTACAACCTTGTCCATTTACTTGTAACCTTCCAAGTCAAGAGATTCAACCAAATATATCTATTCTGTGCTAACTACAAAGGTAAACTGAGTGGCGGATGAAGGGAAGTGGTAGACAAGGAACTGAAAAAGATTTTAATAATGAGTTGTAAGGTTGATCTAACCTTTGTCTACATTCTGACCCAAAGTGTAAATTTCCACCAATTTAGTAGCATGATTCCACTATACCACGAAAACCACCTCGAAGTTGTCCAGGAGAAAATATAGAAAGGAAACAAACTTTGGCTGGGTTCAACACATCACAACAAGCACCCCTGCATGGTTTCCACCTTTTTGGCCTGGAATTGTGCCTAACCGATGGTTAAGTGGATTGTATGCTGGTGTGGCTTCCACCCTCCTTGCTCTGGCATGTATCCCATCAGCTGCCGTACCTGAAATTCAATCCCACATTGGATGACTGGAGAGTGCCTGCAACAGCTACGACTGCAGTGTGGTAGTTACAGACCAAAACTATGGAAACCATGATTCCAGGTTTAGAAGATCACAGAAAGCATGAAGAAGTATATAGAACAGATCATTGTTCTGCCTTCTAAAAATCAAATGCACCACACTGAAATACCGCGTCAGGGTTTGGACAACACAACAGACCATCCTGTACATGAAACCATCCTGACTTGCTGTGCCATGTGACCCTGCCTTTCGGATCAAGATCTAATTTTAATTTTGCAACAAATGCAAAAGTAGAAACAGTGAGCTGAACAGCCTCATCTAGGATACCTTTTATGTGCCAAATCCTGCTATAAGAAAAAATAACCTTAAGCTTAGCTCATTCGGTAGACTTTTCCTTGGCACAATATTAAAAAAGATAAAACATGAAGATTGACTGTTCGCAGAATGTTCTATGACAACCATGTTCAGAGCACAAGTGTTTCGACTTAATATTCTTTTTGCAACTAGCATCTTGTATTGAATCAATGTTTATTACCTGGCTTGTGCTCAAATTCTTGTGGGTTTGTGTGCGGTTTTTTACTTTGCATACATCTTCTGAGAGAACTTTGCTTTTTTTCCACCTCCTCGATGTCTTCTCCAGGTCATGATACACTTCTTCACTTTCACTGCTATCAGAATAGTCCAAACTGGTAGCTTGTGGGTTAAAGTTTACATCTAGTTCTCCATGTAATTGTATTTTTTCTTCCCTGGGTTTTTTGTTACAAGTTCTCCTTTGCATCCAGGGAAGACTGCCAGTTCTACTACTCTCCTTGGAAGAACTAACTGATGATGATTCAGAATCAGAGTACATTGTCTCATTGGTCAATAGCCCAGGTGAAGGGGAGGTCACAGGCTGGTACAGTTCATTGCTAGAAGCCCATCCAGTATTGCACTGCGAAATGGCATAATTTGACAGCTGCTTGGGCTGCCGCCGCAACTTGTTCAAAGCTATGTTCCAGTCATAATCATCTTCACTATCAGAACCCATCTCGTCATAAGCAGAAACCACAGTGGATTCGTTCTCCAAAGCTTGGAATACTTGGCTCTTTGGTTTGGCAAGCATTCGAGGGCGAGGCAAAATGACATTCTGCAAGGCTACCCAGTTTCCATCTATACTTTGTAAGACGGGGGAGAAATCTAAAGGCACACAAGAATAACAAGCATAACAAGATTATTTCATGTTACTACCCTAAACAAGCACATAACTATACCTTGGAGCACAATTACTCCCCCAAATCATTAATGAATTGGCTATTATACATCACATTTATTATGAGAAATAACAGGCATTCATAAGAGGCTTGCAGCATATTCCTTAAGACTGTGTAATGAGGACTGGACTAATTGGTGTTTGACCTAATTAATCTGAGTTTGCATTGTAGTTTCACCTATAAAAGGTTTATAGGGCAATGGACATCTGAGAATTTGTATTAAGTTACATGTGTCAGTATAATTACTGATTTATGTTTTCAATTATATTAGTAGTGATGGTGAGCATGTAGCCTCCCCACATATATGTCATGCACACTCATCAGAATCTGTGGCCCATCATTTCCTAAAATGTGTGCCTTTAGTAAAAGATGTGTAATAATAACCAAATGTGCGTCTAATCACATACTTCTTGGTACACACAAGTGCGGGATTGTGACTGCTGACACTGCTGATCCTGAGAGTTTAGTGAAGGATGAGGGCCCAATCCAACAATGGCATTTTTAGTATGCTGACACAGAAGTAATCCTCACACATGCCTTACTTCCAGGCATGGATCGCCTTTGCTGGATCTAGCAAGTTTCCTACTGCTGTTCTAGAATGAAACATGGAATGTATACATACACCTTCTAGTTATGTAAGAAAATAATATGCATCATAGAGTGTTATTTCACCTAACAGCTGGTGCTGCAATTTCACACAGACTTAAACACAGGAATTTAATTGATTTCAAAACAGACAGAGAATTTGATCCAGGCTTAGTCATGCTTAGAGTAGGTTCCATGAAATCAACAACCCTATTACTTCAGTGGGTTTACTCAAAACATGACCAATCTGGATCCAAGCCAGAATGTTAGAAGGACTTGAAAACATTAAAGCTAGAACTGTTACCTTTTAAAGCTTTAAATACTGCTTTGTACACATTCAGCTAAATTTAACTGTTTTATATTTGGAAAAGTGAAAGCATTCCTTCTCAGACATTAATGACCAGAAGTCTCTGAATTCAAGATAAACATGTTCACTTGCACTGTTGCCTATTCACCATAGGATTTAATTACAGACTAAATACGTAGAAAGATAGTGCAATGAAAGGTATTTCCTCTGGAGCTTAAGTATTACCAAAACACACACACACACACACACACACACACACACACACACACACACAATAAGTATATATATGTCAAGTTAATAGTTTTTGCTATGATTTTGTTTAAATAACAACAGTCCATTTATGGACATAAAGGGCTGCTTAATTCAAAGACAATGAAAGGGGTTTTGGGAGATAATTCCCTTATACTAAATGTATGATTTTCCAAAACTGAATGTTTCAAGTGACCTGCACTTGACTGGTTAAGTTTATATAAGCATCAACTTCTAGTGCTTATTCTAGCCATCTCATACAAAATATGGGCACATATGGAACAGAAGCAGGTTTAATAATAAATTGACTGGGTTCACATGTCATGAAAAGCTGCCCTGGTTGGGTGATCGTTTAACCCAAGGGACCACTGGGTGTTCCACAGCATGTGTTGGCAGCTTTCTCTCTCAGTCTTCCCACTGGCTCCCAGCATGATGTCCAGTGCCTTTGTGACAACTCTTCAGTGTCTCGGTCCCAGGGAAGTGCCTGACCACTGCTTCTCAAATGGAATTAATTTTATGAGCTCCTATGCATGTGTCAACATGTTGACAACTTTTTCTAAGTCTTTTCTAAGATGCCAGTCTTTTTGCTGGCATCCTGTGCCCTTGTTCAAGATTCCAAGACCACCTGTCCACTATTTAGCCAAGCATACCAATATTCCCCTCTTCATGTTCCTGTCAATTCCATCCTCTATTTTGGTGCTTCCCTTTGCCAGCAAATGCTTTTTTAAAAAGCTGATTACATATTACTGACACTCCTAAAGCTCCTTCTCTCCTGAGCCATCAGCTGGTTTTGGCTCCCACCAACCCTTTTGTTGGTTTTTCTTGCTAACTGGCACATATATATATGGGTTATTGAGCAGTGTGTTGGATCAGTAAATATATGTTAATGTCATAGTAAAGCAGGAAAAAGTAGTGGGAAAATGTGCAAATTTCAAGGCAGAGCAGTAAAACTAAGGGGGATAATGTATAAATCTCATAGTAAGGCAGTAAAAAGTATTGCACAAATCTCATAGCAGAGTAGTGAAATGGAAAATTACACCTAGCAGTAGACCTTCATTCCAGTTGGGAATGGGGGGGGGGGGATTGTTCTTGGCACATGTACGCAGGTCATGCTGATCTAGAAACCTCAGGGGAGGAAAAGCGAACTTGGGAAAGTGGGGCCCCAGACACTGAGATTATATAAGCCACGGAGTTTATCTCAAGGCCACCATCTCCAGGTCTCTGAGAATAGCCAGGATTTACAGTTGTGTGGAGGCACAGGACAGCAGCTCCAGGAGCTGGATGAGACTGGCACGAATCCTGATCGCATGACTTGACACAGTGTCAGAAGAGGATTGGCCAACCAGAGGGTTGGCATACAGAAAAGAGGTAGCCCAGTTCCAAGGGGGCCTTCCCAGAGGAATGGGGCTCAAACTTACTCAAAAGGAGGGTTCTTGGAAGTAGTTTATAGATTGACCACTCTGTGCACACACAGAGAATCATTCTTTGTTGGTTGCACTTATTGAAAATACATTGGAGATTAAAGAACTTCTTGTCAAAGAATGCTCTGTTTTTTGGAAGTGAAGTGGGAAACCTAACTTGGGACTATTCCTTGCATTGGACCAAATCAAAAACTAATGCAAATGTGTTCAGAAAAAGGTGGAGAGCATTGAGAAAGGATGATGGAGAAGGGAGGCAGTACTGGCAAGACTGTGAGGGGAAGCAGGGTTTTTGCTGCTCCTGACAGGTGGCTCTCTAGCTGTTCCCAGCAAACCATGATGAAGTATCTTTGCCAGGTTTGGACATCACAAGAAGTCACCATGGGCTATGAACAAACCAGTAAGCCTTGGGATACCAGGGTAGCTTGTTTGTGAAGAATGAACCATCTCATGGAAACAGAGTTGTGTCATGCAAACTGGGGCATAGGACAGGCTTCTGTGCGCACTTTCCTAGCAGGATGGGGACCTGCGTGTGCAAATGGATGCTGTAATTCATTCCATGATGCAGCTGCAGTAGACCAATACTGAACACTGCTAGGAAGTTTTGCTTTAGGTCATATTATGTAAGGCACCTTTTGATAACAATTTAACAGGGGCTGTGGAAAGGAGTTTGACAGTATACATGCAAAGCAAAAGAGTTTGATTCTATGGCTGGATAATGACAGGCGTGTCTGGTCACAGGGGGAATCAACTCAGCAGAAGTTCTGAATGTCCAAAACTTAGACTGATCCAGAATGCTTTGCAAAAATGCTTCCCATCTTTTCCTAAACATAGGGGAGCATCTTGAGAAGAAAAATAATAAGTAATAACTATTCTATTTGTCGAGCAATGTTCATTCAATGTGCCATTTTTCATTTCACTCTAAAGACCTAAGAAAAGTAGCTATTTTATACAGAAGAAATCTCATGTGTATGGTTCATTTTCTCTTTTACTTGGTTCATTTAACTGGTCCACGCTCTTCCAGCTGGGCAAAGCAGAAAGTCTGTGCTCTTTCTGTTTCCTGATGGGGCCTTTTGCTTGCCTCCCAAGAGACTCAGGCACAGAAGATGCAAGGTCCAGGTTTCTGCCTGATGCATCTTCATTAGTGAGTGAGAAGGCAGACTGAGATCTCTGTTAAAGACAAAATGGGAAGAACAATACCTTTAGCAAAAGCCAGCCATGGAAATGTTAAAGGTTAATTACCTGCAAAAGTCACACTTTTACATTAGCAGCAGCCTATTGAAAGGAAATAGGATACAGTTTTACTACTTCCATTTCAAAATGTGAGATCTGTTATCCATTCATTGCTGATTCATTTCAGAAAAGCTGGGATTTTTATGTCCTAGTACAGCCTTCTCCAACTTTGTACCTTCCAGACATATTTGGACCGCAAAACATAGAATTCCCACTCAATGGCCCTGCTGGATGGGAATTCTGGGAGTTGTGGTCCAAATGCCTCTGAAAGTCACCTAGTAGATAGCAAATAGAAGGTTGTTACTGAGGTCATCAGGTAGGGTAGCTTTCTCTGGTGACCTCTGTATGTTTTGTCCTTCATAACCGATATGATAAGTGATCAAGAAGGCTGACAGCTGTAGTCCAAATCAGCCAGAGTGACCGAGAGCAAAATAATCCGTAAGTTAACAAGGACCAAACTCATCTCAGGGTTGTGCCCTTTCTGCTTGCCCAGTTTGACAAAAGATCTCCTTTTGGCCTTGATTTTCTCTAAGTTCCAGCATTCCCTAAAGCCACATGAAGTGGCTGTTCATTCTGATCATTAGCACACTGTGTCTCCTCACAGCCCCACTCTCATTCTCAGAAAACTAATCAAGAAATTTCCCACACTGCAGGAGATTAATTATCCAAGTTACCCAGTGTTTCTTGGCTTACTATATTTATTCATCAAATAATTATTGACACAGTGCAGAGCATGTAAGGTTCCAGGCATATGAGTGGCAGTTGAGTAAAACTCACAATCTGAGTGCTAGAACTGTTATTTCCCAATATATATTGTCCCCTTCTCAAATATACCATAAACGTTCAACCTTCACATTGATTTACATTTACTCAAATAATGGAAACAAGTGTGTGGTGACAAGATGAATATATAGACACTGTATGTTTGTACTATAAAATCTATGGAAGATCAAAGGAGTTGGGCACTCCTTTCCCCCCTCATTTATATTGAGATAATCCCCACCTTTTCTCTGTCATTTCTCTGAATTCCATCTGCATACTTTTAATCAGACCCAACAATGATTAACTGTGCTCATGCAATTTCCCAGTGCAATTTCCTTTCCCTGCACTTTATGTACTGCCTCAACATCTTACCACTGTAGCATCATTTAATCTCAGTCATGCCCTAATCGAGAAGAGAGAGCCTTGTATGAGTGTGAGGTGCCATCCATTTGCATGATCAAAGAAGCTACCATGGCTCAGCTAAGCCACTGTGGCCTGCATCAAACCTTTGTGTGTGTTTGTGCAAGCCAGGTGCCAATTTCCTGATTACCTGCCATGGCACAGCTTGTTATGTCCTCCAAGCCTGGGCACCATGCTTGCCTGAGTGGGAAACAACTTTCAAAGAACCCATGATTTGTTGCTGGGCTATTTGTTTACTATGCTAGTAAGAGATTTGCCCCCTTAGTTACCCCATGGAGGAGAAATGTTATGGTGTTGGTGGATTCCTGCTTGCACTGTGGCTGTTGGCCTGTGGAGCCTGTATTATTTAACCTATGCATCAAACCAATATGAGAGATTGCCCATCATATGGGGCTTCAGTGGCACCCAACTCTCTCTCTCCTTTCCATTTAAATCCAACAAAGAAATTCTGCATTGTGCTGGCAATGGAGTGGATAAGGGCAAACAAAATGAACCTTAACCTAAACAAGTCAGAGATGCTTTTGACAAGATCAGCAATGGGATTTCACTGCTCTTGCCAAGCAGCTCACTTGCTGTGGGCCTTGCCCTCCAATAGTTTGTGTTGTCCATGTTCAGGTGACATGGCAAACCACTGTAGAACAAAGAAAACCTATAACAAACCATGGCTTGTCAGGGTGACTTATAAGCCAAGCTTAAGCCATCCGAACAAAACCATTCCAGGTCTGGGCACAGACCAATGACTTAGTGTGTCATGTGAAGCCAGTTCATTTTCCTCCAGCATTTTGAAATAGTACAACTCAAAGGAAACTGTATCATGTGATTCTGCTGTAAATGTAGGCTAATCTATTGCTCTCTTGTTCTTTCTCTTCATACTTGAGCAGCAAGTTCTGCAGGTCTCTTTCTTTTCTGTTTCTGTCTCTTTTCCTCAATCTCTTTTACATCAAAACTAATACCAAAAAAGAAAAAAGCAATCCTACTTGCCATACCTGAAAATGGCTGCCAGCATTTGAGTCCAAGGGAATTGTCAAAAGCAGCTTACTGTTATTCTTCTGCCCACCCAAACCCATACAATTTCTCTTCCTTTCTCGAAACACCTCCCCCACCCCAAAACTGCGTACAGCATACACCTAGGGACATTGAAATAAGAGTGCTGGCTACATTCTCAAAAAGCACCTGCAAGGCTATTTCTTGCGCTGATGTTAGTGTTTGCTTGAGGTTATAAGGCTAGGTAATCAGATTATGTTTTTTCCTGATAACCCAGGGGCTAATTGAAATTGCTAAAAGTCAGATCCACTGGTGCAAGCACTAGTAACCTAGAGAACCGGAGACATAAAGTAGAGTCATCAATTATATCCAAGAAAAGAAGAAGAAAATAGAAAAGAAACAAAGGGCTGAACCTGCTAGAGAGGCATTTTAGTTTGCATAGGGCTTGTTCAGCATTCAGATATTTGTAGAAAGTGAGGTATTTAGTTATGGTAGTTGATTTCCAAGATATTCCCTTGTTAGATCATTTCTAAACCTTCCTGAGATGGTCATTTTATGTAAGACATTAATTTTTAGCTGCCAGTTACTTCCATTTTGCTCTGAAGACAGTATGAGGGCCTCGTTCAGCAGGTGACTACCGCACCAGGGGAAACATTTATTCCACTTATTTTATTCATTGTTTGCAACTCTTCTATTGCTATCAGAAGGAATAGAATCTTGAATCTCCTAGACCATCTCATAATAATTTCACTTACTACCTGTATTTCTAAGGGAAGGATTGCTTACATTCATTCCTTTGACCATTTGTGAGTTCACATGTCTTCATATATAGACAGAAAAAAAGGAGACATTTATGCCAGATGTATCCTTATGAACAGTATTCACCAAAAAGTAGTTTTAGGTTACACTCCTGTACATACTAAGCTGGGAGTACACCCCACTGAAAACCATGGTGTTGCTTCTCGGGAGACAAGTCTAGGATTGCATGGTCTGTGTTTGTATTGATTCATGCATTGTTTTATATATATTTGTACACTGCCCCAGTATTTCCAAGCATAAGGGTGCTTTAAAAATACTTTAGAAAGTGAAAGAGATAAAATAAGTGCAAGATAATTTGTATCAATTCTGTATCAATTTGATTAATTCTGTATTAATCATCATGATGGCCAAATCTGAATTCATTCACATTTGAATTAGTTCCCCCCTTTAGATTAGATTTACGGAGAGGGCAACTCACTGAAATTAATACACATATGTCTGAGTGCCTACTTTTACTTAGAAGTATGCATAAAACTAAATGGGAGTTGCTTCCAAGTAAATAATTGACTTCTACTATACGTGGTCATTTGGGCAGAGACTTGGTCTCATAGGAACTAGTTACTCTACCATACCATCTATAAGGATAATCAGAAACTGGAAATCAAACCCATGCAAGTAGAGAGACTCTGAAATAAACAGCTTTGCGCTTTATGTTAATATGCGTTCATCTGCAACAACCAAACACAGTGGTTTTCCAGTTTGTTACATTCTAATTTCATAGAAATAAACATGCTTAAACCATGAAGGTTGTACCTTAATTATGCCCCAGATTCCATGCATATCCAGTTGGGAGTAAGTTCAACTGAACTTAGAGGAATGTACTGCTGAGTAACCTTGGACTGCTACGTTTGCAAAAGAAAGGTCTAAAGAAACAGTCTGCTGTGATTCCCAGAGAGTCTATCTTAAATGCAGCCCTGTAGCCAGAAACTCTGCCCTAAGAAACCTTAAGGTACATTTCAGGTACTCCTAATGTGGGAGAACTGTAAGTCAACATGAAACAGTAAGGAATCGAAGTCCAAGCAGTCTAGTCGATTTCGCTAATTTTAACAACATAAAATTATATTTTAATACAAATAATTGCTAAGTGCTTGTCATAATCTCAATGCTTTTACATTGGCCAGAACTTGAAATAGGTAGTGCTTACAGCGCTATTAAGACTGCAGTCCTGTACACACTTATCTAGGAGTAAACCCCATTAAACTCAGTAGGACATGCAGCAGAGTAGAGATCTACAGGATTCTTCTGTAATAGTCCTCTTATCTCTCTTTCTTTGAGTATAAGGCTAGAAATTGAATGTTTTATTAAAGCTGAATATTCAGGAAAAAGGCATAGAGCACAGCCAGGTCTCTACATGGCCTCTCTTGGTGCTACAGCCTTGCATAAATACCGAATTGCTTGGGACACTTATGAAGCAATGGTAAAAAATGAAGTTATCTGATAGCAGCAGTAAATGAACTTGAAAGAAAACAAGGTTCATGACAGTTGAAGGACAGCAGAAACACTTTTCTATTAGTTTGACACACAGGCTATGTGAAGGCAATACAATCATGAGAGCAAATCCCCAGGCGACCCAAAGCAAAGCCAAGGCCACTGGAGCTGTTTCTGCTCCATTGCTTTTTGGAAGTGCCACTTCAGATTATGTGTCGTATGCTCAGTACCACAGCCTTTCATGCCAGAGTGTCATCTGAGTGTGCTGGACCCATGACACAGGGTTTCACTGCGCATGCTCATGAATATGCCGGTTCTGCATACAAAATAACATATAATTCATAGGCCGCTTGAAGTTTTAACATGTTATGATAAAAAATAGCTATTTTGATATGCCAAGATGGAACTGGAAATATAGACATAAAATTAAGCCTCAGATAACTGGAAGGGGAAAAAAGGAATTCTGCAATAGTTTTAAGACACCAATATGCACGCACATGCACACGCAGAAGCACACACACATA